GAGTGGAGTCAGCCAAGCCTCAGTCCGGTACAGTCAAGTTCTCACCAGTCTTTCAATCCTGTGGATGGTGGTGCTCCACTGTTCGGAGGGGCCCAGAAGCCTCCTTTATCAGAGACCTTGCGCAGCTTGATCTCGGTAGGAGACCGTGCCCTTCCGCTTCTCGACCACTTCGCCGACCATGTTGTGCATCTCGTTTTCCCGATCCTCGAAGTGAGACCCGGTCCTGCGCTACATACCAAGGAAATTCTCGACCTGATGCAGACCAACAAGTCCTATCTCCACTGCTGCCTGAGTGCATCCGCGATTCACCTGAAGAACAGTCTCCGCCTCAACGACCAGATGGATCATGACATTATGGAGCATCGTTTCACCGCAATCAACTATCTCACTGAGATGTTGGATAACAGCACTGGCCACTCACAGGTAATGGATGCGACACTCGGTCTGATCTACTACCACTCGGCGGTTGCCACCACGGAAGACTATTTGTCTGATATCCCTTGGAGTTATCACTTCCAGGGTGTCTCGAACCTCATCAAGAAGCTCAACTGCGCACCCAGTCCTATGAATATCACACTCATCGCTTGGGTAGATATCCTCGGAGCTACAATGATCGGTGAAACGCCCCAATTTTCCCACACATATCGCCAGAAGCACACGTGCGGCATAAGCTCTGGGCTGCAGCATATGATGGGTTGTGATGATCGCCTCATGTACCTGATTTCGGAGATTGCGTGTCTCGAGTACTTGTGGAACTGTGGGACCATTGATGAGCAGTCACTATTCCAGCACGTTTCGGCTATGAACGACCAGATCAACTGGACGGAGGCCACTGAGTCCCCAATCGGGGCACTCTACGACGTGAGCGGGGCCATCCAGTCAGAAGAGCTGGCCAAGCTTGTGACAGCCATCTTCCGTATCGCGGTTCGCCTTTACTTGCACAGCCTCCTTCCCAATTTCGACAGCTACGACGCCACAGTCTTGAGCTGGGTCGCAGCTATGGGTGATCTTCTGCAGACTATTCCGGCTGGGCCTAGTGGCTTTGATCGCTGTCTTGCCTGGCCATTGTTCATCGCGGGTCTGTACTCCGCTCCCCCCAGTCTCTTCCGGAAGACCCTGGCCGAGAGAGTCGCAGCACTGCGGTTCCTGGGCGACTTCGGAAGTATCGGTCGGATGTATCAAGTCCTGAAGGAGGTCTGGAGGCTTTCAGATGAGACTGGTCGTATTCCTGGAAGCGGTACTAGGCCTCCCAAGAAGTCGACCAATTCGACTCTCAATGATACCGCCACCACTCAGCCGTCACAGCTGATGCAGCGGGTGCAGGAAGTCGAGGAAGCCGGGGATGTCGATGAGCAGGAAGCCGATGAGCAGGAGCAGCAGGAAGTGGAGGAGCCTCAGCAGGAGTCCAAGTACATCCACTGGCGAGAGGTCATGCGGAGCAGGAAGTGGGAGTACCTACTACTTTAGTGGGTTTCCCATTGACACGGCACGAAGATTCTTGCAAAGTTTACCTCCATGAACAGGTGGAAGATGAGATGAAAACGGCAACGATGGGATGAGACGACAAACCGACCGAAGGGGGACAAAGGCGCGCAACTTTATGACTGCATCGATCACAGGTATCACTGACATGTCAACGCACAAAGGTACCGATTGAATGCAGTCTTTCTATCCTTTTCTTACCTATTTCAATTCTCCTTGGCGTTGGCGTTAGTGTTGGCTGTTGGCCGTTGGTTGATGCAGTTGGTCTGGCTTTTTGACATCTGGAGTTTGGTTGGTATTTCGCAGTGGCTATCTGAGGTCTGAGCTTTCTGACATTTGATTTGGAGTTTCGCTGGATTTACGGGGTGGCTGTCTGAGATTATGGAGTTCGGTTGGTATTTTGCAGTGGCCAGTTGATTTCTGAGGTTCTGTTTCCCTGTTGCTTTCTCATTGCGCATCCTATTCCCTCCCTCCCTTCTTCTCTCCTCCTCCCATCCATCCCCTTATCCACCCAAATTTCGTTGCCCTCCTGTTCCAAATTCAAGGTGACGTTGCGAGTCTTGATGCTCCTGGCCCTTTTGGGTTTCCCTTAACATTTTCACTACCATTTCCCTCGTTCCGCACCCTGGCTAGTCAGTGATTATCTGCCTTCTCGCTTTTTTCACCTTGCTCCTTTCTCGCTGATGTTTCGAACCACACCAACTATTCACTTTCCCTGATCTCTATTCTTAGCTCTATTTCACTCTTCTCTTCTTTTTCTTACCCCTCTTTTACTACTTCTTCCACTTCTCCTTGGTGATCTGACTAGCCACCATTTCTCTGCCCCCACACACTTATATATTGACAGTTGTTCATATCTTACGCCATCGTCAATCCCCATCGCACTCTCTCGATGCTTGCTTATATTATTCGTTTATGATTGATGATTAGTATATATTCCCTCGTTATACCATCGTTGTGTTTCTGTTTTTGCTGCTGATTCTACTATCTGTTCTCGCTTTTACTGCTGCTCTTGCTGCTGACTTTGCCGTTCTCACTATATCCTTTCGTTAACTGTCAACGAGGCTCTCTGTTTGCTAGTCAGTTAATGCGAATTTGACCGTTCTGCTGAAAACATCCGCCGTAGACTACACGCCCTAGCTAGAGCAATGCGTAGACATAATCGGCTGTTACTTTACCTTCCTTGGTAGCAAGTGTAAATTTATATCACTCTGATGATTCGGTAATCATCACAATAGCGATTGAGCTTATGGGCTCTTATGAACATCCCATACATGCTCCTCAGAGCTCTGACTACATCGATATCCTCTATTCTAGAAAGCAAAACAGTTGACAAACACAGGCATAATAATGGAATATCATGTACCAGTGCAAAGTACTTTACGCTGGTCATCAGTCAGTCTAATCACTTGTCCATTTCGTCTGCACTACTAGATGCTTCTTGGAACTCATGACAACATTCCCTCTCTATTGAACTAATGAGATCGATTGGTAAGGCCATATACTGAAGCGCTTGTACATTATATAGTTCTCTCCACTCGGTGGAAATACGTATCATATCTTATGGCCAAGTTGACCATCTGATCTATGTATTTCGGTTCATGTAAAGATAACCAGTGTTCCTAGTACTATACTATTCTTCTCGAAAAATAACAACTTGGATGGTACTGGGGTCAGATTCAGAATAGAAAAAAATGTCGTTACTGATAAAGAAAGATTCATAGCAAGACCGGCACACACGTAAGTTATAGTGTTGCCCCTCACATGGGATAAAGCACAATTACATGGAGATAAATCTCCTCATAGGCATTGTAATTCAGCTTTGTCGCGAAATGATAACAAACAGAGATCGCGGATTCGGCAGCTACACTACGACCCAGAATACTTGAAGCGGCTTATTGTAAAATAGTCGACAGATGAGTAGAGTACCTGTGACACAGAAAGAGGATGCACATCTATTGATGCCAAACCACCAACATTGGGAAGAAAAACCTCCAAAGTGGCTCACAAAAACAAAACCAACTCCAACCAGAAGTCACAACTCCCAAAGGTTTACCTAATGCAAGGACGGCAAATGCAAACAGACACTCCAGAATGCAGATGGCAGTCCCCAGGTCTATCGACCTGATCGATGGATGACGGTTTTGAACCAAACAAAACGAGCCAAACTCATGCAAGGGAATAAACCCAACGTTTACTCCTCATGATCCTACGGCTATGACTCGCGCTTGCTAAAAACGTGGTAGGCATCAGAATTATAATTGTGTGGGACTTTTTCCACTCGATCTGAAAGACGACATCGCCATGAAGCAGGTAGATATTAATGTCTACTACCATCACAGGAACATCGTTCTAGACTGCTTTGACTACATTACCTTTGTAAAGGACAAATCACAGAGATAATTAACATACAGACATGCTTCCGCGGCGGCAGCGTTTTGTGGTAGGTCAAGAACTTAGGTCAAGGGAGAGGTGTCTTCAACAGGTAACGTTAGGAAGTGGTATATATAGGAGCTGCAGCGAAGTTCCAAGCCTTCGAGATTCTGAACTGAATCCGACCTACTTAAGTCCACTCGGATATCCAAACGAGCGCTCCATCCCAACCCCCGCTCAAAGGTCTGACGAGCGCTAGTAAGATATGGCCATGTGGCGTTGGACATAAGAATAATGACCACATCTCATAACCAGTACTAGGCTTCCATAGCAGGGAACAAGACTACCAAGAATAAATCTGTCATGAATCTCTCCTTTTCCAAAAACCCAACCTTATATCCGTGCCACATGACAAGTCTTTGTTCCTTCCCGGATGATGTGGCTTCAACTCTTGCCTACTCGCCGTGGAGGATCATCGTATACTTCGCATACAATCATCCTATGTTGGCGTAAATAGTTAAAGCTCACCGATAGGCACGTCCCTGTACTGACACAAACCACTAAGGTATTGTTCATTTCACGAATACCGCTAATCATGGCTAATAGTATCCCACGGAGAGAAGGCTGTTATGTACATAGTTGGCTTCTGATGGTAGCTATCAGTGGAAAAACTTACTTCGTATCTGCGCTCCATGCAGGCCACGAGCTGTCAGCACCCTACTTGACCATACACCAACACTATGGGGTGGTCCTAACGCATTACCAAGACGGAACACACCGCTAGATATTCATATGATAGCCCATCAAATACGACTAAGATGTCCAAAGCCCCAGTCTGGAATCAACCACTAGTAAAACTTCCTAGCTTGGTATTACAGATTGGCCACGAGTCATGGTAGAATCCTTTGAAAGCGGCTGATGCTTGAGCTCCACCTAGCTAGTGAGCTGAATACACTGCCACCCAAAATAACTACCCAGAATCATATGAATAAAGACCATTCTCACCAGCACCTACGCGCTGAAATGTGCATCAGCGCTGTCCAACCGGTGAAGAGAGCCCCCACACGCCCTATCAATGACACAGCCATCATCCAAGCAACTCATTCCTACTATCTATCCCATCATCATCCTGCGCAATAGACTCAATCCTAATCAATATACGCAGAGAGCAACAGTAACAGCACAAGCTTTCCAGTCACTTCCTACGACCCAACCAGCGATGTTTTAATTTACTCGAAACCACGTCAATCTCACCCATCGCAAGCTGTCCATTCCTTCCCCGTGGCGAGCTTACTACCATACAAGCCATCAAATAAACAAAAACAAAAAACAAGCAACAAACAGGAAACCATAACGACATCAATTAGCAACCATCGAACAAAAAGAAAGAAAATAGCACTTTAATCTCATAATGACGACGAAAAGAGAGTGATAAAAAGAAAAAGGGCACGGTATATCAAAACCATACCCATCAAGCGCGTAGACACCCCATCTACCCTATCAGCATCCAAGAAAAGGACGTAGCCGCGCGGACGGCACAGCCTCAACTCATCCAAGCATAGCGGAGGAAAATGCTGACCAATGGCGGTTTCCCACGCGGCTCGCTCACGCGTTGGAAGGAATGCAATCTAGCATTAGTAAGTAATGCATAAGTTCTCCTGTAGGATTGCGTTGGGCTTGGATGCGATTGTTCCATATGGGGCTTTGATTGGGTGAGGGGTTGGACAGGTGGCTGGAGCACGGTGGGAGGATGCGATCCTGGAGGATTCGGAGAAAGAGTTATCTTTCAGTGTTTGGGCTACTTTGGTGTTCTTAGCAGGCAGATTATTCCTTCTGTAGAGTTCGGAGGCTGGTGATTGGCTTTGGTTTAGCTAGGCCTTTTCCTGGTTTGCTGGTTGGTGGTCATAGCGGGGGTTTGTAGAGATCGTATTTTAATTCAAAAGTCATTGCACATGTTATGATACTTTAACGATGGGTAAGCAGATGAGTAATAGATCAAAACGAATGCATCATAAAACGGAACAAAATAGATAACAAATGCCAATCACCAATCATAACGAACAGTAACGCCTTTCCAGTAGTAGTGCCAGACTCAGCATGCATACCCGAGGCTATAACAACGAATGAACCAACCCAATGATAACCCGTAAGACCGCAACCAGAAACCATACAAAGCATAACGCATCACCAGCCATGTATAATGCATCCGTAAACTAAAAGATACAGTGGTTTTGGGTGCTCCTGGATCCTGTCCAGTAGTAACAATAGTGGAACGACATCACCGCGGTGGTCGTCGAACCGTCTCAAGTGTTGCGACGGTCAAGGTTTCTTCTCCGCTTGCCCTGCGGCGGAGGGTCAAGCTGAGGTGCCCGCTTATATTTGATTGTAGTGGTCACGACCTGTCGGACGGTAAAAGAGTTTCCTGTCTCGCTGACAGGGGACTCAAAGGTACGAGTCCGCCAGTCTGAGGGAGAGAAAGGCGAGTGAAGAGGGTGTCCGCTCCGCGGAGACTCAGATGAAGGAGTATAGACGTATGGTGGGGGTAGGCGCATGCGCTGGACAGGACCTTTGGATGTGTACAGGGCATTAGAAGCTTGGTGCAGTGAGTTACTAGCACTCCTTGATGGACGGCTGCTTGGGAAGGTGGTAGACGTGGTGCTGGAAGGCGCAGAGGTAGGAGGCGAACGAGGCTTATCAGCCATGTACTTGTAGAAGTTTGCCCGAGACGTCGTAGGACTGGAAAAGATGGGGCTGAAAGTGTTGAGGAACTCTGTGTATGCAGAGGGAGGAGTGATGGTGGCCTCATTGTCCTCGTCTTTCTTTTCATCGTTGGCAGGTCTGTCCAGGTCGAGACATGTTGTGAACGTCCGCTCACGAAGCTCAGAGGGGAAGGTCAAGTGCTTGGGGGTCGTCGTCAATGGATGGAGTGTTGGTCTTGTTGGAGCCATCTTGAAAGAGGGAAGACGGTAAAGAATATGTTCAAGGAGATGGGTAGAAGTGAAGTTGTGTAGGAGATTGAGGAGATGAGTTGGAAGTATTGAGTGGGCTGTGTGGCAGTTGATTGAGAGATGATGTTGAGAGATGAGGGTTGGACACAGGGAGAGATCGAGCCCTTTATCTAGGCAAGACCGACGAGCGAAGGACTGTCTTTTGTGGTCTTCTGGCAATGGCAGGATCTGTGGATAGGCGTCAGAACCATATACATCCCGTCAGATGTCAGGCGTAAACATACCGAAATTCTGTAACAAACGGTATCAATACAGGGTCTTGCGTATGTATGACCGCCAGGGCCGTATATTACCTAACCTGGCCTGGTTAGCACGTTCAGCTGTCCAAAATAGCAACCTGCAATCGATCCACCTACTATGTATCTGATAGCAAAATAAGAACAGCGTGCAGTAAGGATTATTGCACAGCCTGAGGACAGGGTTTTCAGCCTTGTATGAAGTTCAACGTGGCAGAGTTGGTTAAACTCGAAGGATCCCGTTGAGCTAGTGAAGGTCCACAATCCCGCTGATGACCCCGATATCTTGCAGTAAAGAAGAGTACAAAATGATCAATTAAGATTCCTGATGATAATAGTAAAAAGGCAATAACGAGCAGGACCCTTACCTTCTTTTATACCTATCTCGAAGACACTTCTTCCTGTCTGTAAACACCGGAGTGTGCGCATCCAGCATTGTCGCGCGCCATCTGAAGCAAGTTTCATGTCGATGACCCCTTTCCTTTAGCATCTTGACGGCTACTGTGCTCAATTCTTCCGCAATTCCTCGTCTGTGGTTTGTTGAAGCAACGCGCGCGGTTCTACAGCCAGTGTTGACCTGATCATTGCCATGGCGAAGGCAAAACATGGGGTGGTTCGAAACAAGTTCCTGCAGTACTAACGACGCGAGCGGTATAGTCTGCAGAAGATTATACAAGGTACATTGTGGCAGAAACGCCTTCAGCATGTTGCGGTCCAATCGTGGGGCGTAAACCGAAACTTCTAATCGCCATGTTGGTTTCAGGAATGGCCCCTTACATGGCAACGTCGAGGATATGGCGCTCTGCGGAGGTGAATGGACCCTGGCTCTAAGCGATTGTGATAAACCATGCCGGTTGTTGCCAATGGGAACGATGTCGATTGCCGCTGCGCTTTCCCAAGACACAGAAGCGGGAAAAGGCATGCGTTATCCTCAAGCAGCTTCTCTGGTTTGGCCACTAGATATCATCGAGGCAGTGCTTTGGCCAAGATGTACTACGCTTTAACGCCCATATGAAACTATGCCTGATAGTGTGCTAGGCGCCTATACACTCCGTATCTAAGGCATGTTCTACCTAGCGCGCTTAGACCACGAAACAATTGTCAGTGCCATTTATTGACTCAAAGCCATGAGCAAATGCCCCCCTCCCGAACGAGATGATCGTTATGGTGACATTTAATGGGGAGAAGGCTGGCCTCGGTAATGAGCAACATGATTGTTCATCACCATTTACCCCGCTCTTCCAGCAAACCTGCTGGCTCGCCATCACATTGCCCTTCAGAGAATACACTACACGACCAGATAAAACTATGACCGTGATATCATCTCCACAGTTAAGCAATCGGCGCCTGGGTGGGCCATACAGTGCCCACATTAAAACGTGATTGGAACATGGGAGATAGGTATCTAAAAACAGCAACACACACCACCTGCTGTGATACTATTCTAGGCGCAATGACAAGGTTGGATCCCTGCACCAATCATTATTCGAATTGCTGATCTCCTGGAACTGAGCCAGCGTATGGGCTGCTCAAATTCTTCTCGTGCATGTTCAGGAAGATGGTGCCTCCAATCATGCGAAGTGTTAAGCGCCGGGGAAGATATTCTTGGCAACTGGCAACTGAGCGGGTACTAAGATTAGATCTACCGCTGTTCTAAGAATATGATCCCTGCTCAGTTTATTTTTGGATTCCATGCACGCTATCTCAACCTCAAGGCTACACCTCCAGTATTTACTGGATCTTAATAGCAATGGGAGTGCTGTGGGAGAGTATTCAGGTTGCTTATAACATGTCTTTCGTTCTGTTTCATCTCATCGCAACCTTGGATTGATCTGAAAATGAACCAAGATCGCCTTCTTACCCCAGCATCAACAGTCCATTGCAACCGCATATACTTAGTCTCAAATGACTATCAAACCCCATACCTCCGCAACTGCAAACCAAAACTGGATCAGCCAATCCAATTGCAGAATTCAAGCGTCGCGCTGATCCGAACCTCGCTCGTATTAACCTGCTAGCAAATCCCCTTCCCTCATCAACCCCCGCCAGCATTTGCAAACCTGAATACCCAGCTGATCTATGGCCGACTAGTCCCTCGTTCCGTCGCACGAATACCCTTAGTGCATAGATCAGGCTTTTACAGCCAGAAGTCTACTATCATTATAGCTTGTTCTATTCTTATCTCTCCCCATGTGGTCCCTTCCGCGCTTATTATTATGTGCTCCAAAGGTGCTGACCGAATCATATCTGGATACTTTTCACTAGTCAAGCAAGCGTCCCTCTCATCCCGCAAAGTCCGGAATCATACTTGCGTGTCATCAACCTAAGTGCAAATCTATCTTCCCATCACACACCCTCATTATCCCTTGTCTCCACTATGAGCGCGCTCTACTCCTGTTGAGGGATATCCCCCGCCTCGATGTTGTTAATTATAGATCATACTATCAATTGAGCGCTTGCATCGACCTCCTGCTCCCCTCCTCTCCTGTCTGGCCTTGTGCCTCAGCTGCATGATTGACTACCTTGTATATCGTTCTTAGTATGTTCGTACGATACTGTATCGTACACACAGGGATTCTTCCTCCATCGGTCCAGTCGGATGCACTCTTCTTCTACCCAGCTATCTAACTACTACTCCATGTTTAATCACACATCTGATCACATCTATTTCTAAAATTGGATCATCTCCCCCTGAAATTGTGTAGGGCGAACTCCATTTCTTGCTCTGGTTGGCGCTTTCATCATGGATGTCGGTTATGACTTGCTCTTCATATCGTCTACTATATTTAGTCCTCGATTCTTTCATCCCCACGAGGATGATCTTCAGTGTGAAGGACGTCCAGCTCATTCCTGTTGTCCTCTACCCCTTGTAGGGCTAACGAGGGGCATATCCGCTTTCATTACATCAACCTTCACTAGTATCTTTGCAGGCCTTCAACTGATTTGATCAGACACGGTCTCACAGAATATCGTACAGACATATGCCCGCCATGCGTACCCCTCATCTACTATATATTCACGTGTCAGAAACTCGGCTCGGGAATCATAGCTTGTCTGAAGACACATTTTACTTCAATACTTCAATCACTGTCCAGCATAGGCCGGCAGAGTTTCCTAGTTTTTACATTCCTGCATACATCATACCTCGTCCATTCTACATAA